TTTTTTTTTTTTTTTTTTTTTTTGAGTCGGGGTCTCACTCCATCACTCAGGCCAGAGCGTAGTGACGCAGTCCCGGCTACTGCAGCCTCAACCTGCTGGGCTTAAGCAACTGCCTCGACCTCCTGCGTACCTGGGACTATAAGTACACACCACCATGCCCAGCTAATTTATTTTGTTGTGGAGATGAGGTCTCACCATGTGGCCCAGGCTGGTCTTGAACTCCTGGGCTCAAGCAGGCCTGTCACCTCGGCCTCCTAAAGTGCCAGGATAACAGGCATGAGCCACCACACCTGGCCAGGATTTGGGTTTTTTTCATGTGACAAGTGTCTGGGATGTCCAGTTCCCCCATGATGATGTATGAGCCTTGTCTAGTCCTTCTCCTGAGGCAGGCGATAACAGACGAAAGACTTTGAGTTGGTCAGGCAGCCACCACATGTATAATATTAGCGATAACTGAGGAAGGTTAGGATGTCGTGTTGCATTTTGAGTTTCTTCCTGGTAGGAACCAGGTCTGGTTTTTTGGGTTTTTTTGTTTTGAGTTGGAGTCTCACTCTGTCACCCAGGTTGGAGGCTGGAGGGCAGTGGCATGCTCTCACAGATACCACAGTCTCAACTTGCTGGGCTCAGGTGATCCTTCTGCCTCAGCTTTCCAAATAGCTGGAACTACAGCCACGTGCTATCACGCTGGGCTAATTTTTTTGATTTATTGTAGAGACGAGGTCTTGCCAAGTTGCCCAGGCTGGTCTCGAACCCCTGAGGTCTAATAATCCCCCAGACCGAGCCAGTGTCTGAGACCTAAGCAAAGCATGAGCACTTCAGTGAAGTCCACCCACCAAGGTGCCACCTATTCTCACCCCTTTGATAAGCTGTCGTAGGTCCCAGTAACTTCACTGTCAGAAACACCCCCACTTGGAGTGAGTTTGCTGCCTTTTGGACACAGAATCCAGCCCTTGCATGGTCCCCTTCTTTCCAGCCAGTGCCATGGGTATTAAGAGGCGGGCGTTTGACTGAGGAAACTTGTTTATTCAGAATAAATTCACAGCGGCTTAAAGATTTTTCAAGTTAGCCAGGCTCGGTGGCTCAGCCTGTAACCCCGCGCCTTTGGGAGGCTGAGGTGAGTGGATTGCCTGAGCCCACGGGTTCGAGACCCACCTGGGCAGGCGAGACCTCATCTCTACAATAAATCAAAAAATTAGCTGGACGTGGTAGCGCATGCCTGTAATTCCGGCTACTCGGAAGGCTGAGGCGGAAGGATCGCTGGAGCCCAGCAGGTCGAGGCTGCGGTGACCGGGAGCGACCACTGCACTCCACTCTGGGCAACAGAGTGAGACTCCAACTCAAAAACAAAAAAAAAAGATTTTTCAAGTAGTTTGTCAACAGAGGCATTACTGAATGATGAAACCGGTTTTCTTTTTCAATTTTTGTTTTCTTCTGGGCAGAGTCGAGGCTTCAAAGACCTCTGGGACTTCCTTCATTGCTCACAGAAGCCTCCTGCACCCTCGTGATGGCACAGAGGGACTATTTTCTTATTCTTGGTCTGAATGACTGCCAAGGAAGAAGGCAAAGGTGGAACAGTTGGATCTCTGGCTCTTCCCATGGCTTCTGATCTCAGGTCTTATTAGCCCCCTTCTGGGCTCAAGGACAAAGTTCCCGGAAACAATTAATTTTGAGTCATGAATGAAAAAACTTGCTCCTTCCATAATGAGGAAGAATTAAGAGATGTAAAGGTAAGCATGCACTCCTATTTACGAAAAAAGGTGTTGGTTTGGGATAGTAAGACAGAAAACACATCAAGAGAATGTGGACTGGCCTGGGCAATACAGCGAGACCTCATTTCTAGAAAAACATTAAAACCTAGCCAGGCACATTGGGGCATGCCTGTTGTCTCAGCTACTCAGGAGACTGAGGTCACAGGATTGCTTGAGCCCAGGATTGCGAGGCTGCAGTGAGCTATTACATCACTCCATCTGGGTGAGGGAGACCCTGTCTCAGAGAGAGAGAGAAAAAATGAGAATGAGAGGGAGGAGCTTTAAAAATATTTAAGAAAACCCCGTATTATGGTTCTCTGTTATATAAAAAGGAACTTTTTTGTACCCATTTTGTTTTCACTTTGCTTGGGTAAGAGGGAGAAGTTCAATGAGGAATCACCCAAGAAATCTGTGTGTCCTGGGTTTTTGGATAATTTGCTTTACTGGCCCCTCCCTGTGCATGCCTACCTGCCTTTGCTGGTCATTCTCAGAACTTTGGGCTCTGTGTGATATGTTTTTGTGTGAGCCTGGCAGCTAACTTGCATTCCTTCCCTTTCACCCTGCCTTACCCAGCAGTGGTCGTGAAAAGTAGAGCCTGTGGGATTCAGTGGGCAGATGGGGAAAAGTCCTTGCTGTGGGACTCCGGGAAGGTTACGATGGTGAACTGTTCTTCCAGAGGAAGTCTTTGTGTGCTGGAGGGGACTGAGGAGAGGGAAAGGAAGGATGCAGTGAATCCTGAGTATATAGATACTTGCAGGGAGTTGTTTAGCATGATAAATCACCAAATATTTTTGAGATAAAATTTCACTTCTTTTTTGAGTCAGAGTTTCACTCTGTCTCCCAGGCTGGAGTGCAGTGGCACGTTCACGGCCACCACAGCCTCCATCTGCTGGGCTCAGGCGAAACTTCCACTTCAGCCTTCCAAGTAGCTGAAACTACAGGCGCACGCCACCTCGCCTGGCTAATTATTTTTTTGTGTATTGTAGAGACGAAGTCTTACCAAGTTGCCCAGGCTGGTCTTGAACCCGTGGGCTCAGCCAGTCCTCTCACCTCACCCTCCCAAAGTGCTGGAATTACAGGTGTGAGCCACCACACCCAGCTGAGATAAAATTTCAATAAAAGTCAGAGACAAACATTTTATGTCTAGTACGGTGCTAATGGGTGTGGGAAACATTAAAGAAATAAAGAGAAGGTCCCCATGCAGGCCTTTTGCACAGGAACTTGTGCTATATACAGCTATGGGACTTAGGGTCTTAGGAAGTGAGACACTATTGTAGCCCCAGGTGGCAAGGTAGGCAACTTTGAGGAGGTGGAACTATCCTGAAGGGACCAGAGGACATAGAGAAGGTGGAGGTGAGGCTGTGTTCTGGAATAGAACCACTTGAGTCAAGGGATGGAAATGGGGAGTGGAACTGCAGCAGGTGTGTTTGCTGGATTGCAGTTGGAAGTAATTGTGAAGCCAGTCATGAGGAGTTTCCTCAGCTCTCCCATAACTGTGTTTTCTCCTCCATTCTTGCAGCTGAAACATAAAGAAATCAAAGCTCAATTAAGAAATGTTAACCGGTAAAATTAGGCAAGAGGATTAGAGTAACAGGATGATCTGGGACTCCCAGGCCTTGTTATAAGCAATGATTTATTTGTTAGTTTTTTCTTTTAATTATCATGATTTAGCTTAGTTTGGTTTGGTTTGGTTTCATTTAGTTTTTAGTTTAATTTAGTTTTCTGACTCACTGCAGCCTTGACCTCCTGGCTCAAGCAGTCCTTCTACCTCAGCCTCCCCAGTAGCTGGGACTGCAGGTATGAGCCACCACACCTGACTTATTTCTTTTATTTTAGAGAAAATAGCACATTCATACGGTTTAAAATCTGGAAATTACAGAGGAATATATAGTGAAAAAACTCTCTTCTAACCCTGTGGCCCAGCCACTCAGTTTTCCTGCTGGAGATAAAGTTAGTACTTACTTGCGCATAACTCTGGAAATGATCTCTGCAGAGACAAGCATGTGTACTTTAGTAGTTTTCTTTTTTTTTTTTTTTTTTTTTTTGAGTTGGAGTCTCACTTGGTCGCCCAGACTGGAGTGCAGTGGCCGCTCCCGGCCACCACAGCCTCGACCTGCTGGGCTCCAGCGAGCCTTCCGCCTCAGCCTTCCAAGTAGCTGGAACTACAGGCGCGAGCTACCACGCCCGGCTGATTTTTTGATTTTTTGTAGAGATGAA